ACTTTGGATATTACATTTTTCATTATCTGATGTTAATATTACTATGTTAAATCTCAATTGACTGTAACACTGTGCACCTGGGATTGGATGCCCTAAAAATTGGAATGAATAAATATAATGGGTTATATAGCTAACAATTATATAAGAAAAAGGCAACTGCATACTGCAGTCTAACTTGCATTTTATGTACCTTCTAGGAACCTTTTTTAAATATGTGAAGTATACCAAAGGTGATTTTTTTCCCCTGACATGTTTTTTAAGTTAGTATACTTCATGTATTGTTATATCCCTTCCCATGTAAAATCATATGCTGTTCCAGTAAATAAATTTTTATAGCCCAGCTATACTTTCCACATTCAAAGATTGATTTTGAAGGGGCTCTGAATCACAGTTTAGTAGACAGATAGATGTTCAACTCCCATGCTCCATGTCCTATTACTATATTATTTTACAGATATGAATAAAGCCAAATGATAGTCACTAAATACTTATTGTCTCATCATTTTAAATTTATTAATATTTAAATTTATTTTTGAGGAGGGTGACGGTGACAGCACAAACCCACAAAACCCCACAAATACACTACGGCAGAGACTTGTCCACCCAAAAGACCAGACACCAAAACACAACAGGAGCAACACAGTATATGCGGTCGAATGCACAGATGAGTGTTTGGAGCTCTACATTGGAGAAACCAAATAGGCACTAAACAGGAGAATGACCCAGCACAGGAAAGTCAACAGCTCAGGACCACAATCAGCAGTGTTCCTTCATTTGAAGGACAAAGGACACTCATTTGATGACCAAGGTGTACTCATTTTGGACTGACACAATAGGTGGTTTGAGGGAGGAGTCAGGGGGGGCATACATGTGCGTATAGAAAATCTCTCACTCAATAGGGGTAGAGGCCTTCGATACAATCTGTTTGTTTATCATGCCGCCCTTTCATCTGTCCCCAGAAAGCTACAGTAGTGCCTCGACTTACGAAATTAATCCGTATTGGAACGGTGGCGTAACTCAAAAATTTCATAAACTGAAGCACCATTTCCCATAGGAATGCACTGAAAACCGATTAATCCGTTCCGGCCAAAGAAAAAAAATCACCAAAAAATAAAAATAAAACACTGCAAGCCCCTGGGGCTGCAAAAAATAAAAATAAAAAAATAAATAAAATAAAAATAAACAGAGCAAGTCCCATGCTGGGACGAGAGAAAAAAACACCACAAATCCAAAAACAAAACAGCACAGAAAAATAACCCCCAGTCCAAACCCCACCCAGAAGAGTTTTTAAAAAGGCAAAAGCAGCATTTTACCAGTCCAAAGCCTCCTCAACCTTGTGGACTTCCATAGCTGCTGCTGGGAGTTGGAAGCCCGGGAGGCTTTTCCTAACCGTTGGGGCGAAGAAGCATCCTCTTCGCCACCAAAGGTTTGAATTCCCCGCCTTTTTCTGTTCATAACTGGAAGCTCTGGCTGCAAGTGGAAGCAAAATTTTGCGGCCGGAGCTTTTCATGACTCAAAATTTTCATAAATAGGGATGTTCGTAAGTAGAGGTCCCACTGTAGGGACACACACCAGAAAGACCATTGTTAATGACCCATGACAATGGCTGGATAAGGACTGCAGAGGTGGGATCACTCACGCCCCCCATCCTTTGTCCATCTAATGTGCCTATTTAGAACAGGGGGAAGTGAAACCAACTTGGAGGATATATTAGGAGTCTCCTACCAACTCTCCTCAGACTGTAAAAGCTACTTGGATGAGTAGTGAAATGTTTCAACCTTCTGAAAGAAGTCCAGTTGCCATGACTCAGTTTCCAGATAACCTCATCTGGATGACTGAGAATCTTCACAGATTATTTTCTCATCTGAAAAACTGAAATCCCATTGTCTTGAATGATAAATATGGGAACCTTACATTATCAGTGAGAATTCATTCAGGAAGATTTTGCCAGCTCCTCAATGCTCCTTTATATACCTATGTCAATCTTCTAACTCGAGTGCAAGTTTTTTTAAGCTGCTAATTTAGTTAAGATATTTTAAATTACCAGTGTAGGTAATGTCACACAATTATGCCCATATTCTAAATCATTAAATCTTCTTCTGCTGTTCAATTTTAAATCTAAGGTATTTTATGATAAGAGATTGCTTCAAGTAGAAGATAATTGCATAGGAGTTCTGTGGTTTTGGCAGGAACAACTTGAAAATGAAAAAAAAAAAAAAGAGATTGCTTCAAGCAGAAGATAATTGCATAGGAGTTCTGTGGTTTTGGGAGGAACAACTTGAAAAAAAAACACAAAACCCTGAAATCAAGATTGTTCCTGACATCTCTTCTGAAGGAAAAAAAATATAGTCCCAGATCAAGTAGTCCCTGCTCTTAACTAATCAGATTTACATCAAATAAATATTCTTGTTTAATATTGCAATACTTTCAAGTTCATATGTTGAGGGGGACAGTGTACCAGTTGTGCCATTCATCTCAAATAATTTCATACGCTACCCATTATACCAAGGAACCCTCAGGCATCAGGCTGGATTTGGATCAAGGACCCTCAACTGAGAGTGAAGTTTCTCCTGTTTGTAGTGGAAGACTATTTAAAGCTTGGGGAGACTTTGCAGTAAAACACGCCCTGTTTTGCAGCCTTGGAATTTTTTACATGTCAAAGGAACTGTCATTTGTGGACTGGCAATGTTTTTCATGGAGTACAAGCTCTCATTTGCACATTGGCAAGATTTTATGGGGGACAAGAGCCTTCATTTGCACATGGGACTTTTTTTCATGGAGTACAAGCTCTCATTTGCACATTGGCAAGATTTTATGGGGGACAAGAGCCTTCATTTGCACATGGGACTTTTTTTGTGAGAAACAAGACATCCTATTTTTCAGACTGATGTTCAGGTTTTTCCTATCTGAAGACTATTTAACTGGAGCAAATAGGTATAATTTATATCCAGCCAAGCCCTGTGTCCTTAGCCCCTGTCATGATGGGATATGTAGTCAGAGAAATGTAAAATGGAGTCAGACAGGTTCTGTGTGAAGATGATTTGAGAGAAATTGGTATGTGTTTTTCTAAGCGCCATGAGAGTGTTTTTCTGAAGACTGTTCAGCCTAGTCTGAGATAACGATGAAGGCCAAATTGAGAGCCCATGGAAGACTCAACATTCCAAGCTAGTTGGAGAAGAGATAAACAACACCTGGACTCTCATAGGAATAAGGGGAAGAGAGTGGTGTTACAGCCTCTCAAGGTTAATTGGTTAACAGCCAGAAAGGCCAAGAAGAAGGGAGGAGTCTGGGAAAGTAGAAAATGGATGATGGGTTATGTGAAAGTAACTGAAAGTAACAGTATGTGATTCTGATGGTTCGTGTGTTGTTCTGATCTGGATTAGAGAGGCTGTAAGTACGAAGAAGGAGGCAGGGCTAGCCACTATAGCCTACCTTAGTTAGCTTAATTAGTGTTTATTGTTTTTAAAGGAAACAGGTATTTTATTTAACTGCAATGATCTTTGAATATGTTCTTGATGCTAATGCTTGTGCAATATAAACTGATTCTATGAAACTCTATTTTTCTAATAAAAATTAATTATAAAAATTCTACAAAAGGACTGGTCTCTTGAACAGCAGGGTCTGGCTAAATCCAGGAGGTGGAGAGGGCCACAAACTAGCTATCTTTTAAGAGTCCTACCTAACTGAGCTGTTGTGAGTTCTAAGGAATCACAAAGCCCATGTGTCTGTACTTGTAAAGTATTAGTTAAGAGTAAAGTGTTCTTTTAAGGTCAGACTTGTTCAAAGGGCTTACGCTACGCACTGCTCAGGTCTTGGGACTTGCCCCAGCACAAAGGTGGTAGGTAAGTGGCCTGTCGAACTTTCTGACCGAATACCAGTGGCCCTTTAGGGGGTCCAATGGATCACAGCCCCAATTGCTAGAATACAGATAAGTGCAATAAAAGAGGTAGGGGGAAATTATACTTCCTGTAAACTAGTGTTGAAAGTAAGACAAATGATGAATCAAACATCTGTTATATACAGACAGAACTACTGTAAGAACTTTATGTTGTTGTATACAAAAAGCAAAATCAAGAGACAAAAAAGGACCTTGATACTGTCAGCAGCATTCTGAGGAAGACAATGCACCTTCAGAACCTGTTCCAACTGGTCCTCCCCTTTTTTATGTAATATGGAAAGCTGCAATGGGAAGACAAGGTGAAGTCATTTCACCTATAGGTCAGGTATCATGGCTTTAGATCTATTATTTTAGCGTAGAGTAGTTTAATAAAGCAAAGTATCTAGTAGGACCCCCATATCTGTGGGAGCAATATCTGCTGTTTCACTTATCCATAGGCTCAAATATTAAAAATATTAAATGGAGAAACCTAGAAATACAGATTTCCAAGATGTAGTTATCAGAACTAGCCACTATAGGGAACCAGACACTACGTTATACAAGTAAGCCACTTTGCCTAGTCTCCCGCCAGCTTGAGGCAACCTCCTCTACTTTCAAGAGCAGCCTCATTGTAAAACTCGACTCAAGAGCTGAGGTATTCCTGCCATCCATCCAGCCCCTTTCTCAACACTCCTGGGCAAACAAAAACAACACATTCTAAATTTTCTTCAAAGAAGAAAACCCACAGAGCCATTGAGATTTTGTGTGTGTGTGTGAGAGAGAGAACTAACAAGAGAGAGATAGAGAGAGATTGAGATGGAGACAGCTGTCATCAGCAAGTTCATGAATGAGGAAAAACTTCATTTTGGCTCTTCTTACTAACAAGAGACCTCAATGAGATAAAAACTGCAGGTACAGGGGAGCCCTGGGTCCAACAGACTATGTTACATATAGCATTTGCTGTAAACCATAATTTTCAGTATCTGCAGGAGGGGCTTGGAACTGGTTGCCCACAGATACAGGGGTGCCAATGTACAGTACAATAGAATGCTTTTGTACTCCTGCCCAGCAATATTTTCCTCAGTGCATCAAAGAACCCCCAAGGTGAAAATAAGTTAAGTACCTGCAAAGTACAGTTCATCATTCGTACTATGTAGTCAAACTGCTGATGATCCAGTATTGCACGATTTTGTTGAACATGGAGGCTTAATTCTTGTGTCAAACACTGTCGTGCTGCTTTTCCTTTAAGTGCTCTCAGTGCAGCAGGAAGTGTCTGCAGAAGTGAAAATGTAATTATTAGGATGCTAAAAAAAGTCCTGAACTGAAGCAGTTTTGTTAATATACTCTGTGACTGAAAGGTGAAAACCTTTCTTTTCTCCCTTCACAGATTCATGCACCATAATCAAACAACATTTTCCAGGTATATCCCAAACATAGATAGATTACAATGAACTATGAGGTTTAGTGTCTGGCTTTTTTAGTTGTGGCCTCTAAGTTATGGAATCTTCTGCATATTGAACTTGGTCAGTGATTTGGGTCAAACGTTTTTAAAAAGAAGTGAAAATCATGTCTCTTTCTATAGGCTTTTGGTAATGTAAGTGATAAGCAGGCATATGCCTCAAATACTTAATTATACTGCCTGCAACTTTTAATTAGTTTGTCCCTTCCCAAGCTGAAGCAGTCAATCCAAAATCTGGGCAGGCCTAATACATTAAAATTTTATAGTTTCCTTGTACAATTCACAAAAGGAGAAAAAGTTAGAATACAGTACCACTCACAGTTCAGTATGCTTCCCTTTCTTTTGTTATGTCTCTTAGACCAGGGGTGGGCAAACTATGGCCTTCCAGATGTTTTTGGACTGCAACTCCCATGATTTCAATTGAAGCATAACATATAGTAAAGTACAATGAGGGTAGCAGTTCATGGAAAAAGGCTGCCAGCATACTAATGCTTGCAGTACCATTACTTTAGCCCCAGAAGGAGGAAACATTCTTCCTGCCTTTGACTGCTTTTTCCAAGGTGACTATATTCCCTTTTGAAACAATGGGTCAGTGTAACAAACAGGAGCAAAAACTGAGGGTGTGAAAAAAGCTGCCTGCGTTTGTTTCTGCTTACAAGATTTCAAGCAGAGATGCTCATATGGCCTATTATCACTTTCTGAAATTTTCATTCTGAAATTGAACATGTGAGAATTTAAATGCACTACCAGACAACAGTGCAGCAGGACCCCCATATTTGTGGGATCAGTGTCCATGATTTCACTTATCCACAGTCTGGACATATAAAAAATATTAAATAAAAAAACCAGGAAAACTTATTTCCACAATATAATTACCAGAAGTGGCTACTACAGGGAGCCAGAGATCATGCTATGCATAAGGTTTGCTATTATCCATGGGTTTTTGGCATCTGCGGGAAGGTGCGGAACCAATCCCTCCAGGATACTGTGTCCTACCATAGTGATAATTTTGGACTGGATATGAATCACTGTTATACATTTACCCAGAGACTGGTCTCTTGAAACTTCCCTGCCTATTGCAAAACAGCTATCAGGCTGTCAAATTACTTTGGTCAAACAGTTGCCTCTCTATTCCTGAGGAAGGGGTGTAAAAAGGGTACAAGGAAGAGAGTTCCTCCAAAAGAAGCAAAGATGGGAAAGGGGCAGGCAGGAGGGCGGGAGAGTTAGACTTCACTTTCCTTTAAGAGTAAAAACTGAATTGTACATTTATACCCACCACCTCTACTCAACTAGCCCCCAATCCTTTTTAATTCAACATTGACTGGCAAGCACAATGAATATATGAAAACAGGACAGGATTGGCAAAGAGACTAATCACTTGACATGTACGAATTTTTCTTGGAAATGTTCCTCAAATAGTTTAGCAAGCAAAAACTTTATTACCTTTTCAGTTTCCAAAATTTTGTTTTCAAATATAAAGGAGATGCAGTTTCTAACAACTTCCAGCCTTTGTGCACTGTTGAAAACTGTGCTTGACTTTTCTATTATGGAAACTAACAAAGAAAGAAGTAGAAACATATGTGAAACCATTTATTTTAAAAACTATCATCACTTAAGAGTTATTACATTAGAAACATTCCTAACATCCTTGTTTTATTTAGCTGCAATTCTCATCATAAGATGTTAAAAGTGTTTACTACACAATCTTATACTACATAGTCACATACATAATACCTAACACAGCATAATATCTGGAAGATTCCACTTACATCTTATCTCCACTAAGAAAATGGTGAAAACCCATTAATAAAAAAAGTAGTCTCAGAATGCAAAATTCATACTCATTTGTAGGAAATTAACAAGAATAGATAGGAAGTTGGTATTATGCCAATGAACTTCCCTGAAAAATCCTTGTGAATTTTAGTATTGCAATGTAACTTTTATTGCCTATATTTGTTTGTGAAGATAAAACAAATAGGACATAATTGGAAGCAGCTAGGATAGTTCCAGGTTCAAAAGAAGAGCATTAAAAGTGGTAAGTGGAGCATATTTTTGAACTGTTACCGTCCAGCAGAAGATATAGAACAATTAAGACTCAGACCACACGTTTTCTGAATAGTTTTTGTCTCAGAGTTATAATTGCAATTAATAATGAGCTTAAAGACCACCAGTAGTAAATAATTAGTTGGACTGTGTTACTTGGCCTGTGATGTAGATGTTTGTATTTTTAGTGGGGGACTTTTAGTGGGTGGGGAGTGTTTGGGGAATTTTATGTGTGTGCATGTCTCTGGTCTCTGGGTGTCTGTGAATTTCGTTGTATGGGTATACTGTGTATATACTTACAATGACAATAAATTATTATTATTATTAAAATTATTATATCCATACATTATAAAGAGCATCATATTCATTGGAATAAGAAGAGCAGCTTGTTACAGAATGCCTTGGAGGAGCATTCACAAACTTTACTCACTGTTAGAAAAAAGCAGTGTTAACTGGCTTTATGTACAAACCACCATAAAACACATTATAGTAAATTGCTATCATACAGACAGCATACACCACATGAAAATTCTGCTGATGCCTTGTATAAAGAATGGGTGTCCTAAGTTGATGGCATGATATTATGACAGGTGATAATGCATATAACAAAGAAGACTGCAAATACTGGAATGAGTCATTTATTTAATGCTGTATTTACATCACCTTTCAGCTTAGGGCAGGTAAAGGTAAAGGTAAAGGTTCCCCTTGACAATTTTTGTCCAGTCGTGTTCGACTCTAGGGGGTGGTGCTCATCCCCATTTCCAAGCCATAGAGCCAGCGTTTGTCCGAAGACAATCTTCCGTGGTCACATGGCCAGTGTGACTTAGACACGGAATGTTGTTACCTTCCCACCGAGGTGGTCCCTATTTATCTACGTGCATTTGCATGCTTTCAAACCGCTAGGTTGGCGGGAGCTGGGACAAGCGACGGGCGCTCACTCTGTCGCATGGCTTTGATCTTACGACTGCTTGGTCTTCTGACCCTGCAGCACAGGCTTCTGCGGTTTAGCTCGCAGCGCCACCACGTCCCTCAGCTTAGGGCAGTTTCCTATATATCTTTGTTTGTTTGTTTGAAATATTTTACTAATATTAATACTAATATCGAATAGACCAGATGAGCGGGATATAAATAAAATAAATAAATAAATAATATTGTTACTCAACCTTCCTGTCAAGGTCACCAATTATGCAAAGACAGAAAGGGTGACACCCAATGCTAGACTACCTTCAGTTGCTTAGAGAAGGGTGGTATAGAAATATATTAAACAAATAGAATATTAAATTAAAAATATTCATTTTGATACACAGAGCACATATTTACTGCTTCCTTTCACCACATCAAAATACACAGATACAAAACCAACTGATACTTGAATGAGGACATTATGTTTTGACAGTGCCAACTATGTTTTAAATAACAGTGATGTCATTTCAAAGATTAAAGAGTGACTTACTTCCTTTAAAAATCTGTTCGGGAGCATTCTAGAAAAGCTATAAAATACACTCAGTTTTTCTAGTAAGTGAAAAGCCATCCTAACACAGTGGAAGGGTTACAATTGAATGGAACAGGTAATTCTCATACCAACTGGTGGGCCAGCAGGTACAACACATTTTCTTTCTATACGAGAAGCTGGAGTTGCACTTTGGTTCTTCACCAAACCTTCCTGGATAAGATCCTGAACTAGACTCTCATTAATCTTCGGAAAAGGAAGGACATGAACTCGTAGATGAGATCCTTCTGTAGGTCTTGGAACTTTCTGGAAAGCCATGTGAGGATTTGGATTCTCCTACAACAAAAACACAATTCCTTTAATTATGGTATTTAATATTTTATATTAATATGACACACTTTGAACTGCTGGATAGCTCAGTGGTTTAGATCTCTGGCTGCAGTAAGAGGTTGGGGGTTCAATTCCCCACTGTGCCCAATTCAAAGAGGCTGAACCTAAAGATAGATAGAGTCCCTTCTAGCTCTGCAGTTCAAAGGTGGTGGTGGTGGTGGTGGTTATATAACTAGCACATCATCTTGACATTTAAACCAATGTAGTATAAGAAAGCCTGATTAATACAGTGGTGCCTTGACTTACGAACACCCCGACTTATGACCATTTCGAGGTATGACCAGCTCCGGTCACAAAATTTTGCTTTGACTTGCGACCGGAGCTTCCACTCATGAACAGAAAAAGTTAGGGAAAAAGGGCGGGAAACTCAAATTTCTAACTGTAGGTGGCGACGAGGCTGCTTCTTTGTAGCTCCTTCGCCCCAGCAGTTAGTGTGCGTTGTCGTCAGAGGTTTCAGAACTGCCCCCTTCTACTTCAGTGTGTGTGTGTGTGTGTGTGTGTGCGCGCGCGTCTGTGTGTTTTAGGGAGGTAAGGTGCTGTTTTCTGCTTTTTAAAAACTGTTCTGGGTGTTTTTGCAATGTGGCTTTGACCTGGGGGGGTTATTTACTTTACTTTTATTAGATATTTACCCCGCCCCCCTAGACAAAGTCTACTCGGGGTGGCTTACATACATAATAAAAACATCACAGTAACAACATCATAAAAACATTTAAAACATCAAATTTTAACAGTTATATAAATCATTGCCAAGATGAGATAATTAAAAGAAAAAGAATAAAGATCAGTTAATGTTAATACAGTGGTGCTGTGCTGTGATAGGTTTTGAGGGGTTTGTGGGGTTTTTTTGTTTTCTCCCCATTTCTGATGGGTCTCGGGGGGTTTGGTTGCTTTTTGGACTTTTGACTTTCTTTTTTAAAACAAAGACTGGGCTAGGTGGAGGATAAAATCTATTTATTTATTTTTGCATTCTATGGCTCCGAGGGTTTGTGTACTGTGACCTCTCTTTTGTTTTAAAATGTGTGGGTTTAAAATGTGTCTGTTTTAAAATCAGAAAATATTCTGTGAGTGGCTGTGCTGGCTGTTGATGCAGGCGGGCTGTAAAATGGAGTTTAGACTCCAAAGTCTTTTTTTCTTAAAATCAGAAAATATTCTGTAAGGGGCTGTGCTGGCTAGTTTGCTCTAAAATGCAGTTTAGACTCAAGTCTCTCCCCCCCCCTTGTCTTCTCTCTCTCTCTCTCTCTCTCTCTCTCTCTCTCTCTCTCTCTCTCTCTCTCTCTGCTCTCTTTTTGTGCTGAGGGGGTCGGTTTGCTGGAACAAGGTGTTGGTGGGTGGGTTTAAAATGTGTTTGGTTTTAAATGGTGTTTGGTTTGAAAATGTGTTTTGTTTAAAAGGTGCTCGGTTTGGTTTAAAATGTGTTTTGTTTAAAAGGTGCTTTGTTTGGTTTAAAAGGTGCTTGGTTTAAAAAGTGTTTGGTTTAAAATGTGCTTGGTTTAAAAACTGTTTGGTTTAAAAGGTGTTTTAGACTCCAAAATCCTCCACCACTGATTTCTCTCTCTATCTTCTCTCTTTTTGTGCTTAACAGCACAAACCTTTGTCTGAGGGGTCTGTGTGCCCCATTGATGACCTTCTTTCTTTCCTCCTTTCCCACTGTTCCTTCTCTCCCTCCTTTCCTGCACTTTTTAAAACCTGTCATCTTAGGCTAAAAGAAGAAAAATCCTTCCCCTAGTGGCAGAGGCCAGATTAACCGCTTTGCATTTGTTCCTATGGGAAGGAATGGTTCGACTTGCATACAACCAAAAAGCAGCCGGAACGGATTGAACGGGTATCAATATATTTCAATGGGAAATGCTGATTCGACTTACAACCATTTGGACTTACAACCATCTTCTGGAATGGATTACGGTCGTAAGTCGAGGCACCATTGTACAGTACATCAAAAGCCAGAATCCTACTGGTGTTCTCATAAGGTTTGCAAACCCTGGCACAGCTAATTGATGCTGGTCTAGGCCATTTTCTCAGTCATGTGCTGATTTCCTCTGCTAGGCTGAATATATTTTAACAATGGAAGAAACTGTTCTGTTCACACAAAGCTTTCAATGGAGCCAAGGCCCTGTGTTAACTTAGGTTGTAATAGGTGAATTCTAGACTTTTCTTATTAACAGCAGAGTTAGGAATTATGGAAGTAATACTTTTTTTTTGGAAGAACAGATTTAAGGACCTAGATTTGGTGGACAGAGTGCCTGAAGAACTATGGATGGAGGCTCGTAACATTGTACAGGAGGCAGCAGCAAAAACCATCCCAAAGAAAAGAAAAGGCAAGAAAGCAAAATGGATGTCCAACGAGGCCTTAGAAATAGCAGAGAAGAGAAGGGAAACAAAATGCAAGGGAGATAGGGAAAGTTACAGAAAATTGAATGCTGACTTCCAAAGAACAGCAAGGAGAGACGAGAGGGCTTTTTTAAATGGACAGTGCAAAGATATAAAGGGAAATAATAGAAAGGGAAAAACCAGAGATCTGTTCAAGAAAATTAGAGATATTAAAGGAACATTTTGTGCAAACACGGACATGATAAAGGACAAAAATGGGAGGGACTTCACAAAAGCAGAAGACATCAAGAAGAGATGGCAAGAACACACAAAGGAATTATACCAGAAAGATCTGGGTGTCCCAGACAACCCAGATAGTGTGGTTGCTGACCTTGAACCAGACATCATGGAGAGTAAAGTCAAGTGGGCCTTAGAAAGCATGGCAAACAACAAGGCCAGTGGAGGTGATGGCATTCCAAGTGAACTATTTAAAATCTTAAAAGATGACACTGTTAAGGTGCTACACTCAATATGTCAGTGTGTTTGGAAAACTCAGCAGTGGCCAGAGGATTGGAAAAGATCAGTCTACATCCCAATCCCAAAGAAGGTCAGTGCCAAAGAAGGCTCCAACTACCGTACAATTGTATTCAATTCACACACTAGCAAGGTTATGTTCAAAATCCTACAAGGTAGGCTTCAACAGTATGTGGACCAAGAACTCCCAGAAATACAAGCTGGATTTCAACGGGGCAGGGGAACTAAAGACCAAATTGCTAACATGCACTGGGTTATGGAGAAAGCTAGAGAGTTCCAGATAAACATCTACTTTCATTGACTATGCAAAAGCCTTTGACTATGTGGACCACAGCAAACTATGGCAAGTTCTTAAAGAAATGGGAGTACTTGACCACCTTATCTATCTCCTGAGAAATCTATATGCGGGATAGGAAGCAACAGTTAGAACTGTATATGGAACAACTGATTGGTTCAAAATTGGGAAAGGAGTACAAAAAGGCTGTATGTTGTTTCCCTGCTGAATTAACGTATATGGAGAATACATCATGCAAAAGGCTGGACTGGAGGAATCTCAAACCGGAATTAATATCAACAAAGATTGCCGGAAGAAATATCAACAACCTCAGATATGCAGATGATACCATTCTGATGGCAGAAAGTGAGGAGGAATTAAAGAACCTCTTAATGAAGGTGAAAGAGGAGAGTGCAAAAATGGTCTGAAGCTCAACATCAAAAAAACTAAGATCATGGCCACTGGTTCCATCACCTCCTGGCAAACAGAAGGGGAAGATATGGAGGCAATGACAGATTTGACTTTCCTGGGCTCCATGATCACTGCAGATGGTGACAGTAGCCATAAAATTAAAAGACATCTGCTTCTTGGGAGGAAAGCAATGACAAACCGAGACAGCATCTTAAAAAGCAGAGACATCACCTCGCCGACAAAATTCCGCATAGTCAAAGCTATGGCTTTTCCAGTAGCGATCTATGGAAGTGAAAGCTGGACCATAAAGAAGGCTGACCGCCAAAGAATTGATGCTTTTGAATTGTGGTGCTGGAGGAGACTCTTGATAGTCCCCTGGACTGCGAGGAGAACAAACCTATCAATTCTGAAGGAAATTAACCCTGAGTGCTCACTGGAAAGATCCTGATGCTGAGGCTCCAATACTTTGGCCATCTCATGAGAAGACTCCCTGGAAAAGACCCTGATGTCGGGAAAATGTGAAGGCAAGAGGAGAAGGGGATGACAGAGGACGAGATGGTTGGACAATATCACCGAAGCTACCAACATGAATTTGACCCAACTCCCGGAGGCAATGGAAGACAGGAGGGCCTGGCGTGCTCTGGTCCATGGGGTCACGAAGAGTCGGACATGACTTAACAACTAAACAACAACAAATACTTTTTTTTAAAAAAATGACCTATTTTCCACAACTTCACAGTCGTTCACAATAATCTACAGGCAGAATATTTTTAGTTGAGTGAAGAGATTATATAAATCCCTCAGTTTCACACAGTCTAAAAGAACAGGTTCTCTAAAATGAAATAATTCTTAATCATATATGGGAGTTAAATATGCTACTTAATTGATAAATAGATTCCTAATTGTGTACTTTACCATGACTGTTATCATGGGTTACTTTTTTTTTAAAAAAAGAAAAGCTAATGCAGACTGACAAGTCTTTATGACTGCATATTTTTTTGCCTTTAATACCAAACAATTATCTCACAACACACATTAACATAATTTTTGTTCAACCATCATTGTAAAGGAGGTAGACAGATTTATTTCAATGAATGCAGTGGTGAGGTTCTATTAATACAATTTCCACTACTTGGGGATATCTCATTTTCCACATCCAATTGCAAAACTAAATTCTTTAATTTTGTGGGCAGATTGGCATTCACAATTTGTTATTACTCTGTCATACCATGTAGTGCAGCTTACTTGCACTATTAGTTCCACTAGTGTTTGGATACCTGTAAATTGAACATATAAGCACTAGCAGAATAATGCCTTATATTTTTCCCACATACTACCTAATGAGGAGATTAAACATGAACTATGACACATAAGACCAACAAAGGAAGTAATTCTATTAAATAATTGAGAATAAAGTTGTTAGAACACAGGGACAAGATGAAGAGAATCGAAGAGTTGAGGAGACATTTGCAGGCAAACATATGTAGGAATGAATAAATATTTCTTCGGCAATTTAATCTTTGTTTATTGGGAATCCTCATCTCTTAATTACTATGGATAAGGGCCAGTGAGAAAGGCAAATGAGGTATGAACAATCTATTACAAGGGGCATGAACAGGGAAATATTTCAAGATGTACCAATTTGCCTAATCCTGTTTAGTGGGAAGCAAGCATATTTAGTCAACGTAGTCTGAACAATATAGAATATAATACATAATTTGGATTGTGCTTAAAGTCATGTAGTACAGGTAGTATTCTTGGCTACAAAGAGTACAGTGTGCCTTGCACATACCTGATTATACTACTCAGCACCTTTCTTTTACAGCAGTTAAAACAATGCTTACATGTATTATAATTTAAATCAACTAAATTAAGGGAAACTATTTGAGAAAGAAAGATGGCCTATGAAACCCTTGCAAGATGCCTCCACCTGTTTTGGGAAGAGTCCTATTGCTCCCTCAGCTTCTTTATACTGCAACCTGCCCAATTTAGCAGGACCTTCTAACCGTCTGTGTAGTATTGCAGGCAGGCTGGAGGTGTTGAGACTGCCAGGGGACAACAAGGACCTCTGGCGGGGGCTAGGAAAAAAAATCCTGCCTGAAACCTTGCTTCTAGTTACAGTTGACAATACAGTATTGTGACAGATGGATCAGTGGTTTGACTCAGTATAAGGCAACTCCTGTTACATTAACCATAACTTCAAGATATAGTATGATGCTAATCACTATTTCAATTTCTGCAGTTTCCAGAATTTAAAGTTGCATTTTCTTTAGTTGCATTATAGTATGTGAAAGGATTGTACTTACATTTTTGAACAGCTGCTCTGCAAGTTCTCTGACATGCCTTAACATTTTTGATGAATTTTTCTCCTCAGATTTAATTCTCTCAACTTCAAATGCTACCAACTTAAAAAATAAATCAGTTGTCACAAAAGGACTTTCTTTACAGTAAAATCATAAACAAAATCTTAGTAATGGCCTGTATGTGTGACATATCTCACACAATTATTCATACATTCTACATGATACTTTATTTCAGACACGTACATTAGCCCTACTTGTGAAATATGGTGCTAGATAGTGTAAATAATTTTCTATCTAATGCTGTGATACTCAATGTGGTGTACCAAACAGAATGATGGACTGGGACTCAGGAGACTAGATTCAAGTTCATGCTGAAATATGGAAATTAACTGGAGTGTCGCACTGGTAAAGTCACTTCTTAAATATCTCACATCTCTTAGAAATCTTATTGGGGTGCCCTAAGTTTGATGTGATCTGACAGCACATCACATACACAAATACATATAGTCCTAGGGTTCTTTCAAAGTGTTTGGCATTTCTCACATAATATCATCATTTAATTCATTATGCTCTTTAAATTTCAGTTCTGAATGCCATTAACGATGCAAGCATGTCAAAATTATCTGGCTTTTGTATGTATGGTGCATTGTGACAATCCAAACAGCAATAAAATAATATTTACAAGAGCTGAGTAACCAAAGTTTAAGTCATTTTGTGTAGGTAAACACATAAACATATGGTCCCCCTAAGCACCATTTTGTTAAAATCAGTGTTTATCTAAGCTTAAGATATTTCCAAAATGTCATACAGAAAGATTTTAAAGAAAAAAAAGAATAGAAAAGAAAAAAAAGGAAAGAAAAGTCTGCCAAGTATTATCTATTATTTTTGAAAGCATTCTAAAATAGATATAACATTTTGTAGTTATTCTTATTAAGGTTTACATATGCATCATATTTGCATATATTTATGATGCGCAGGCAGCAATAGCCCAGGTAGCACATTTCCTAAGAACTTTTATTTTGTTATAATTTTTTTAAGCCAATAACTTCAGTAGAATAATTTCTAGCAGTTTGGATAAAATCATTTAAATATAAAAAGTAGTGTTCAAACAGAACAAATGGTTTAGAGCTAATTCACTCCAATAGAATCCACAACTTCAAAATACAACTGCAGCATCAGTCTTTAAACAACAAAATAGTTACTGGCCAGAATCCAAAGGTAGCACTTATGCTAGTATAAGAGCAATGGCAAAAATTGTAGGAGGAGATTGCCATCAGCTAACAAGTTGCTAATTGTACCTTTGTTGCATGCTAGTTGCATGATTTAGTGCCGGACTATGGATATAAGTGTCAACTCATTAACTGAAGACTTCACTGGAGCAATTTACACCACTGCAATTTTGCGCTGGCATAACTTACCAGAAACCAATATGATTCTGGCCACTGAAATTTAAGTTTGCATCTACCCTCTCTCTCAGCTTTCATGCATATCTTTAAAAAAGTATCTCTACCTCATCAAAGAGATCACAGGATCTGTAAGGAGGACCTCTCTCTGATACAAAACCAGCAAATGCCATTCCATTAAGAACTTTTGTAAGGACATCATTCTCAATCAAGCCTCGCTGGCTCAAAAAGGCTGCCTGCAGAAAGAAGTAAATCTTAGTCACCAAAAAAAGCATTTTTCACATCACTGTGCAGTCTTAGAAAAAGAGACAAAAAGAATAGTTAAAATATAATATTAAAAACAAGGAGAGAATGACCCCCCCCAAAAAAGGGGGGGACGCTCAACTACCATAGCATCAAGGTTATTGTAAGCAGAAAACTTTCCATCAGCACATACATGCTCATTTCAAATATGTTTAGAATGCATTCTGAAGTCTGTTTTCTTTCAGCTAACAGAAATGATGCAAGGTGAGATGCAAAATAGCTACATATTAAATCCATTTAACAGTTGGAGCATGAAAAACCTTACAGGTGTTAAAATAAAGTTAAAGCTGTAAATATTTGAATGTTTAATCTGATGTCTTGGTCTACTGCGATATGGTGCTATTTGCTTTTTAAACCCACTAAGATGCATGTATCCTTTTGTCTTTCCTAAAGGGCATAAGAGCATGACATATGATAAATGAAGATGGAATGCTGGGTGAAATAAACTTTTGCTAGAGGACCATGGCAAATTTCTGTTGGGAAAAACTGCTTTGTGAATGAGTTTTGCCAAGCCGAAGTAACAGATGATTTTTCCCCATGGCCAGACAGAAATTCCTAGCCTCAGTTTATTATTCCTTATGGAATATAATTTGACTCACTTGCAGGAGCTGTACAGATTATTTTACAAAACCATCTGCTGAATTTTGAATTAGCATTTAACATGACACACATTATTCGTCCCTAATTTTTGCTAGTGCATTTTAATCAACTAGAGCACTGGTTCTTAACCTTGGGTTACTCAGGAGTTTTGGACTGCAACTCCCAGAAGCCTTCACCACCAACTGTGCTGGCTGGGGTTTCTGGGAGTTGCAATTCAAAAACACCTGAGTAACAAAGGTTAAGAACCACTGAGCTAGATGATGGATGGGAGTTAATATATGTGAAGGATTCCTACATTATATGACAAAAAGGCAAACGAGATGATCACCGTATCCTTTTTAGCTTGGATTTCCATCTGTAGAAATTCCCCTTATAGGAAAAAAAAGCACAAATATCTGTAGTACAAAGTAATACAATAACCTGTAAACATCACATAAGACAATGTTGTTATAAGATGGAACTTGTAAAATAAGTAAGCTAAATCTAACACTCTATTCTTTAAGATGTTTTTAAAATGTTTGACTCGAACCATTATGCTACATTGTACAAAGCAACTACCACGCTTACTATTCTATGACAATATACATTATAACCTTTCCAAAATGACACTATTATTGTCTAGAGATGCTGGCAACACATGCTTTGCTTTTACCTTATGGAAGTTTATTACAGGTTCTGAATGGATCCTAATCAGCTGAAGGCAAGATCTGTATCCTTGGAACAGCTGTGCAAATAATCTAAGAAAGACTCCTCGCACTTCTTTATCCTGAGGAAAAAAAGCAAATTGAGTGCTACTGTGTTTTCTTAAAACATATCAAGTCACAAAACATTGTTTTTAAATGAATACATTCTGTAAGCATTCCTAGAGGGGTGAAAAGCACAATACAAACTAAAAATTAAAACTGAAGAAGTTCTTGTACTTTCAATATCCCAATTAAAATAAGTGTGGTATCATTATGAAACAGAAAGTATTCAAATAAGAAGGCCTTCTTCCTGCTTCATATTAGCTGTTGAAAGACAACTTATTTGTCTTCCATGTATTAGTATATTTCCCCAAGTCTAACCGAAATATAAGCTACTGATGAAAGCACAAAGAACAGTCCCAAGAAGATGTGTTTCACTGCTGAGATTAATGAGTCACAATTTTTCTACTGCGCTCTCTCTTTTTATCTCTCTCTCAAATGCAGAATCCTACTAGGGTTTTACATTGGAATAGGTGAAACCATGAAACTTGCAACAACAAATCACCACTAATTTACAAGGTGATCATCATGTGCTTGGTTGCATGCCAAGTTCTGATCCAGTAACATGAGCAGGCACAAAACCAGCACCTTGTTACTTAGCTGCAGTTCACTGCTGTGGTTTACAGTGGGGTCTTGACTTGAGAACTTAATCCGTATTGGAAGGCGGTTCTCAAGTCAAAATGTTCTCAAGTCAAATCTGCATTTCCCATAGGAATGCATTGAAAACCATTTGATCCGTATCTGCTCTTTTCCGTCCATAGAAACTAATGGGAAGCTGCTATTCCGCCTTTGACCACTGGAGGGGGATATTTTGTTTCTTTTTTTCTTAGGTCAAGAAAGGTTCAGGGAAGGCAGGGAAAATACAGTCCAGGCAGTCCAGTACCAGGCAGTCCGTAGACTGTCTCCCAATCCACTCTCTAAACGCTGGGAGGAGTGAGGAAGCAGACAGGCCCCCTTTTCACTGGCCAACAGTTAACTGAAAGTTCACATTTTGCACTTTCCCTGCCTCCCACGTGGTTTTTTTTCAGTTCTTAACTCAAATCTAAGTATGTAAGTCAAGTCAATATTTTCCTATGAGAGTGGTTCTTAAGTCAAAATGTTATTAACTCAAGCCGTTCTTAAGTCAAGACCCCACTGTATACAATTTAACATACTCCAATGTAAAATCCCAGTAAGATTTTTGCATTATGACTGAGTCTTGGACTCCAAGACTACCTTTTGCTGTTACAGTGCAGCACAACACAGTGAATAATGAATTCCAAGACAGTGAACTATTTTAGGCATATATACTTTCATTTTTTCTGGACAAGTGGACCCATTATATTCGGTGTACCAAGTTTGATATAGTCAAATTCAAATTCATTTTCTGTATTTACTAAACTATAAACATGATGTGGCAGCAAACAGCACAAGGAACTTTCAATTAAATAACCTACATTCAAGTGAATACTGGTTAAGTAGGTACTATGCTAGAATGGCTATGTCTTACCAACATTTTGGTATGTGACAGAGCTGTTCGAGGAGGAGGAAATGCATAATCTGCCGTTTCCAAATCTGGATGTAAAACCTACAATTTGAAGAACAACATTTCAGAACAAGCACTCTGTTGACAACATTTTTCTACATATATTTTTCCTACTAAAGATTACAATATACCATACTGTACTGTGTGTCTTAAACAGAATAGAATCACAGAATAATAGTGTTAGAAGGGGTCTATTAAGGCCATTGAGAGCCTCTGCTAAATGCAGGAATGCAAGTTAAAGCATCTCTGACAGATAGCTGTTTACATTTCTCTTTAATGTTTTAGTGCTGAGAGTTCACCACCTCCTAAGTAACTGGTTCTATTGCTATACTGCTCTTAATAGTACAAGATTTTCCCAATATTCAGCCCAAATCTGAGCTTCCTGTACATTGAGCTCCTTATTATGTGTACTGCACTATGGAATGACTCCAAACAGGTCCTGCTCCTCCTCTGTATGACAATCTTTCAAGTATTTCGCTGCATATCTTATATCAAAAGCAGTATACCATGTAACCTCTTATCTATCCCGTCTAATGAAGGAAGAGACAGCATTATGACCCATGAGAAAAAGATGCAAGGAAGTGCTGTACTACCTGATTAGCATAGCATTAGAACTCAAGAATAAAGATACTATTCCCTTTTAAGACTAGAAGGGGGAAGCAGCACAGACATGATTGAAGGAAGATGACAAATGATATAAAACAAATATAAGTTTCCTTTAAAATTTAATGGTAAACATATAGGTGAGTTTGTTAGTTTTTGTTTGTTTTCAGTTATTCTCAGTCTACAATTGCCTAGCATAGTTGCCTTTTTGTGTTATTTGGCAGCAAATGAGAACTATTAAACCTACTTTCGTCTTATTTAGTCTTCTATGACTCTTATTGCCCACAAAAGCTTTTCTTATTAATAAAAACTAAAAGGACTCTGATGATTATGAGATGTGTTTAATAATGTAAATAATAGCACTGATGTGGACAGGGACTGAAATAAAAATCAGTAAATTGGAAATGATTTACGGAATTTGACTTACAAGAGAAAGAGCAGTTTGAGTCTGATGAAGCAGTGGTTCTGGGAGCTGGGACAGATGAATACATTCAGGAATTTTAATTGTACCACCATCCAGGTCTGCTATGATTACATCTAACTGAAAGACACAGACAAATAAATTAGCATTTTATATAACATTTGACACCATGAATGTGAAAGCAATGAGACTGTGAAACACCAGTACTGTATAATAATTATAAGGGATAACCTTGATTATTTGAAAGATGTAGAACTACATCACTGAGAGCACAGATAAATAGTTGTTTTAGAATACTGTTTCAGTCTATCTCTTGGAGGCACACATGAACACAGTAAGGAGGTTTGTGTGTGTCAGGGAAGCTGACATCAGTGTCATCAGGAGGCTTTATTATGAGCTTGGACACTTAGCAGGGTCATTCAGGCTGTAATAGTCAAAGCTGAGACACCACACTAAGATGCATCTACCCTTTTCAGGAGTAATGATCACATAAGCAGAGGAGAACTGATAATTCCAGCAGTCACAGTGGCAGAAAAACTGCTGAAGGGCAGCTACTGGGCAGAAGCAGTATGTGGAGGTGACATGGGCAGAGAATCTTTCACAAGTAATGGTGAATACTGTTAATACTGACCCAAATAAGGCAATGGTAAACCACTTCTGACTATTTCTTACCTTGAAGACATTGTTCAAAATGAAACAAGAGACCAGAAGGCACTCAGCTGGCTACTAGGGAAGAACAATGGACAAATACAAATGGCCCCGTTGCTAATGAAGCAACTAGATTAAAACCAAAAATATATCTAGTTGCCAATGTGTGCAGATATGCTGCATGACACATACAACTGGAATACGGAATAAGAGTAAACTAGAAAACATAAAGCAAGAAATGGAACATTTAAACATTGCAGTACTTAGTCTTAGTGAACTGGAACAGAACATTTTCAGCCTGTTAATTACAAAGTGTTTTTACTCTGAAAATTATGAAATCAGAAGAAACAGTATTGCTCTAATACGGAAAGAAAATGTAGCATCATGCTTCTTGTGGCTAATGCAAACTCTGACCAAACAATGGAAATTAGACTTCTTGGAAACCTATCAACATAACGATAATTTATGTCTATGCTCACAAGCTTTTAAGCAAGGGTCCAAGAAGAAATTACTCACACACTAAAGCAGGATGTGCTAATTACCATGAATGACTGAAATGCAAAAATAAGTAACAATCAGGAACCAGATACTGTTGAGAGAATTAGCCCTAGAAGTCAGAAAAGAAACAGGAGAATGACTCACATAATTTTTTTGAAGGCAACAGTCTTTATACTGCAAAGGCATGCTTCAGGAAACGGGGAAGCAATACACTGCAATACAAATTTCTTTGAAGAAGAAACCACTGATGAAAAACTTGCAGTTTTAGAAAGTGAAGTGAAAGCTGCACCCAGAGCACTTGGAGAAATTAAATCACTAGTGATGATGGGATACAGATAGAACTATTTCAAGCTACACAGACTGAATATGTCAAAATCTTAATAAGAATTTGTCGAGAGGGAATGATAACACTAGTGGGGCTGTAATGCACAAATAATAAATAAATAATAAATAAACAAACAAATATGGAAAACACAATATACATTCCTATATTCAAGAAACAAGATGCCAAAGATTAGAAAGACCATTGCATTAATTTCACCTGCAAGAAAAGTGATGCTGAAGGTTTTTCAACAAAGACTTTTACTATAAACAGAGCAAAAAACCAGATATTCAAACAAGAATCCCAAAAGGAGGAGATACTAAAGATATAACAAATATTTGTAAGCTAGTGAAGCATGCCTGAGAATTTCAGAAGATTAGTTTATGCTTTATGTTGCTGTTGTTTAGTTGTTAAGTTGTGTCCCATTCTTTGTGACCCCATGGACCATAGCACACCAGGCCCTCCTGTCTTCCACAGCCTCAGCGACTTGGGTTAAATTCATGTTGGTAGTTTCAATGACACTGTTCATTCATCTCATCCTCTGTCATCCCTTTCTCTCTTGCCTTCACATTTTCCCGACATCAGGGTCTTTTCCAGGGAGTCTTCTCTTCTCATGGGATGGCCAAAGTATTGGAGCCTCAGCTTCAGGATCTGTCCTTCCAGTGAGCACTCGGATTTGATATCCTGCAAAATGGATAGATTTGTTCTCCCTGCAGTCCAGGGGACTCTCGAGACTCTCTTCTAGCACCACAATTCAAAAGCATCAATTCTTTGGCGGTCAGTCTTCTTTATGGTCCAGCTCTCACTTCCATACATCACTACTGGAAAAGCTATAGCTTTGACTATGTGGACTTTTGTCAGCAAGGTGATGTCTCTGCTTTTTAAGATGTTGTCTAGGTCTGTCATCAGTTTCCTCCCAAGAAGCAGGTGTCTTTTAATTCCGTGGCTGTTGTTACCATCTGCAGTGATCATGGAGCCCAAGAAGGTAAACTATGTCACTGCCTCCATATCTTCCCCTTCAATTTGCCAGGAGGTGATGGGACCAGTGGCCATGATATTAGCTTTTTTATGTTGAGCTTCAGACCGTTTTTGCGCTCTCCTCTTTCACCCTCATTAAGAGGTTCTTTAATTCCTTTATTAAGAGATTCTTAAATTACGCTTTATAGACTACAGTAAAGTCTTTGACTATGGGGATCATTTAAAATTTTTTATTTATATGTCCCCTTTCTCCCTGTAGGGCAGGGGTCCCGAACCCCCAGTCTGTGGCCCAGTGCCGGTCAGTGGGCTTCTCAGGACTGGGCCACAGAGATAGATCTCCACCCCATCACACGCTTGCCGGGTGTGTGTCCCACTCATGTGCATGCCCGCAAGTGTGACACACCCACCCATGAGAGCGACACACCTGCCCGGGAGCATGGGGTTGCCCCCGCCCCCATGCATGGAGCCTGTTCCCCCAACTGGTCTGCGGTTCCAAATGGGGACCCCTGCCATAGGGGACCCGGTTGCTCACAACAATTACAATTAACAATGAAAACAGGTTTAAAATACTATACAGAAGAAGCAGTTTCTTACTCTTTCTATAATTCACATTTCATTCAAGCCAAACTCTTAAGACTCTTCAACTGTATTTTCAATATCTGGTGCAGAAGCCACCTCTCTTCAGATTTGTTATTATATACAGTAATGGGGGGGAGGATGGCAGCACAAGCACCCTTCCATGAAATTTAGGCACCATAATGATTACTGAGTACCCTTTTGGGGTTTCAGAGAGCTATGTAGACTGAATACACAGTTTGGGGGTTGGGGACTGAGTCAGATGGGAGAAAGAAGGTGTCAGTGACATTGTTCTTGGGCTCTCAAAGCAATGATGTAATTATTAACACAATGTTCAAAGTACTGATTCCACAATCATCCTATTAATAGATGAGCAGTCTGCTTCATAAAAGAGTCTTCTACTTGTCTATGTAACCAATGAGAGAAAAAGGAGGGAAGACTGGATAGACTCTCAGACTAGGACATGGGTGATCTGTTTGTCCTGGAAATTCATTATCATGAAAAGCTATGGATTATTCTAAAAGAAATTGGTGTGCCTGAACACTTGATTGCCCTGATGTGTAAGCCATATTGTGGACAACAGGCTACTGTTAGACTTTAATATGGAGAAACAAAATGGATTTTCATAAGTGAAAGGTGTCAGATAAGGGTACAAAGATAGATTAGATTCAGAAGACGGTGAAGTGAAAAATATTTATTGCTATTATTTACTTATATCATCATCTATCCAAACAGAGTTTGCAACCCAGAAATCAGAACAAGACTGAGACTTAGAAGGACAGCAATGATGAAATGAGAAGAGATCATTAACTGTAAGATTGTGTCATTGGAAACGAAGACCAAGATCATCCACACTCTTGTATTTCCAATACTAGAAAGCTGTATTGGTGTGAAAGCTGGCCAGGTAAGAAAAATAGACAGGAAAAAATTGATTTGTGTGAAATGTGGTGCTAGAGGAGAGCTCTGTGGATACCTTGGACTGCCAAAAAGATGAACAAGTGAGTCCTAGATCAAATCAAGTCCGAACTGTCTCTGGAGTAAAAAATGATGAAACCGAGGCTATCCTACTTTGGACACTCCAAGAGAAGGCAGGATTCTCTGGAAAAGACAATAATGCTGGGAAAGATGGAAGATAGCAAGAAAAGAATAAGACCAAATACAAGATGGATTGACTCCTTAAAGGAAGCCACAGACTTGCTCATTTATAGGGTTGCCATACGTCAGAGGCAACTTGATGGCACACAGCAACAACAATTTCTTTATCTTGCCTGTTTTGATTTTATATGTCATGTAAGGTGCTAATACAGACTACCTAGTATTGTAATAATTATGGGGATGATTTCTATGACATTTCACATTTTCTCTGCAACCGACATTTGAATCCATAAGCAAGTTCAAACATGTTTATGAGTACTGTATTTTTCTGTGTATATGACCCCCCTAATGTATAAAACAACCCCTTAATTTTGACCCTTGATGGAGGCAGAAGAGCAGTTAATGGACAACTGTTCCTCCACCTCTGTCTCCTGCTGCTGCTGCCTCTGCTGCCTGCCTGATCTCCTCCTCCAGTGTGACTGCCAGGGCTCACCTCCAGCTCATCTCACTGCCTTGTCCCCTGCCCTAAGGAGACAATCGCTGGAGGAGGTGATCCAGCGGCAACAGCAGGAAAAGGCGCCCGAGCGCACGCAAGTGCATGTTTGCCTCCACCTCTGCCTCCTCCTGCCTCCATCACCAGAGGGGACAAGGCGGTGACGTGAGCTGAGCCCGTCAGTCTCACTGGAGGTGGTGATCTGGCAGACAGGGGAGGCAACAGAAAGAGGCACCCTAATTATTTTAGGGAAATGTCATTTTATACATGGAAAAATATGGTAATCGGGCCTTTCTCACCAGATTATTCATAAACATGTTCAAATCCACCCACAAGCTCAAACACAGGTTGCAAGAAA